TGCATTGGATCACGAGTTCGGTTTGATTCGCAAAAATCCCGACTCGAAGGAGGCCAGACAACTCTTTGATAACTTGGCTGCTTTTATGAAATACTTCTATGATTTAGGTGTAAAGCCTACACTCTACAAATACATAAAAACTCCCACATACCGACGCTTTGAAAAAACAATGGATACAATATTTGATCTGACAAATCGGTATGCTAATGAGGCCATAGCACGCATGGAACAGAACCCTTGCAAGGAAGGCGAGGAACGCAGTGTGCTGGAGAAACTTTTAAAAATCGATCGCAAAATTGCCATTATTATGGCAATGGATATGTTATTGGCCGGTGTGGATACGGTAAGTCTAGGGGGAAAGACATAATTTGTACAACCAACAAAATTTACAGTTAATTCACCGAAACTCCACAGACATCCTCTACGCTGACAGCCGTGTTGCTATGCATTGCTAAAAATCCGGAAAAGCAGCAAAAATTACGCGAAGAACTGTTGAAGGTGCTGCCGCACAGAGATCAACGCTTCACCACTGACAATATGAAGCATTTGCCATATCTGCGCGCTTGCATCAAGGAAGGGATGCGCCTCTATCCGCTTGCCTTTGGTAACATGCGTGCAACCGGCGCTGACGTGGCGCTTAGCGGTTATCGTGTACCAAAAGGTACGCGCGTGTTTATGAACTCTAATTTTTTGGTACATGAAGAAAAATTTATCCCACGCCCACGGGAGTTTCTACCCGAGCGTTGGCTACGACAGCAGGATGCGAAGACAGTTGGAGATGAAAAACTAATTGCTGATGATTTGAGTAAATTTATCTTTTTACCATTCGGTTATGGACCGCGTAGCTGTGTGGGCAAGCGTATTGTTGAATTGGAGTTAGAAATGATGTTGGCCAATGTGGTTCGTCACTTCGAAATCGAGTTTAATTATCCCACAGATAAGGCTTTTGCGAACCATTTTCTTAATACACCACAAATACCATTGAAATTTAAGTTCACTGATTTGAATTATTAAATTAAATATTAGCTAAAAATTTTAATTACACGCACATACAGTGACGAACAAAAAAAAAATATCGACAAGGAGAATTTTTCGCAATATAGGTATGATGCAAAGTTTTTCATTCTAATTTCCTTTCGATAAGTTTTTATGAAAACGTAATTCATACTAATTCAAAAAATATTAAGTTAAAATCTCTAAACTTTGTGCAAAACGCAGGCAAATTCAACAAATTTGCTTACTAATTTGCGACTTTGTATTCAGGTTTTTTTTGCAAATTGCATATACTTTTGTTCGTCACTGTATATATGTATGTATGTATATCATGATATGCAATTTAACTAGTTGAATTTTGGCTGTGGCCTAAAATTATCTTCTATATCGACTGACGAAAAGTAAAAAGTGTTTTGGAATTAGAATACGAGTTGAGACATAACAAATCAAAAGGATGAAAAATTTACCGATTCAACTTCCATATACAAAGCTGAGTAAATAAACTGATATATTGTATGCATAAGAAAATAACACCTCAACATGTTGACCACTTTTGGAAATTGTTCTATGGTTAAATAAACTTTTATTCATTTTCTTCATAAGTCCAGCTCATTATATAAACTTTGTACTAAAGTTATAAAATTAAACGAATTTTCACCAATATTTTAAACATTAAATTCTAATGTAATAAAGTGCATATTTCAAGTTGTTAAAAAACCAGTGCATTTTTGATAAATTTTCTGCTCACAATTTAGGCATTTTTTCATGCATAGTATGCTCGAACATTTTTTTATATGAACTGAATGAGGACCTGTGGGGCTATTCTGTAACCAATTAGCGAAAATTTTCGTGTCGAAAAGAGTTTTCTATTGCAACTATTGAAACTAACGATGGTAAAATTTGGTCGTTGAGCTTTGCTATGGAAAAAATGTGCGAACCGTCAACAAAAAAATTTGCCAAACAACAATAGTAAGTCCTAGCTTCCTGGTACTTGCACTTTGTTTTACTAAAATTGAATGGGCTAAAAAACTGCATACTTAACTTTTTTTCTGGCGCGCGTAAGTAAAAAGTGCAATATTTGAAGGGAATTTTGCAGAATTTTCTTTAATTTTGCATAAGGTTTGGAACTCTGATGTTTGGGGTTTCCGTTGTAGAATTAACCGTATTTTGAAAAAAATTCGCTGTACCCAAACTTTATTTACTGACGGTATATATATATATGTATGTATATTAAAAACGTTACTCATAAAAACGGTAGAAATATTTAGTAAGAACATAAAAAAATATATTAAAATATCAGATGAAAGTTGTTTAAAAAGCCCTTGATGGAAACTTAACTTGTTGTCAACAACTTTTTAATATGGTCGAATCAACTAAATTTTTAACACAAATAATTTTGTTCGGGACCGTAACAGTCTGCCACGCATCAGCATCTAATCACTCATATCAACACTAATATTGGTGCAGAAAATTTTAAACTGTTTTTCATAGATTTTTTTTGCGCTAACTGCGAGTCCGTTGGTATAAAGTTTCCATCAGCTCCATATTTTGAAAAAGACGTAGCTTCGAAAAGTTCCGTTAGAAAAATAATTAGCTCAATTACAGAATAAATTGGAAATTTTGTAAAATAATAAATAATGAATAATTTTTCTAATAACATATACATTTTGTTCAGAAATAATATCTAAAAAATCCTATGCAAATCGATGCATCAATGTATGTATGTATGCCCCACGATATATCGAAAAATATGAATATACATTTCGATGCATCGAATCAAAGAAACACATCGGTGTATTTTTGCCACGGACTTACCAGTTTTCAATGGACTTTTTTTGTTCTGAATTGCCAGTCGCCGAAACTGAGAACTGCTGAGAACAAATCGATCCGCCCTAATGTGCATACATACATATGTATGGGCATACATAGTTCACACTATTTCGTCATGAGTGCTTATCACACTCTTTATGATCCAAACAGGAATGAACATGACGACCTTTGTTTATCTATAAATATGAAATTGCTTTAACCTGTTTTTATTTTCGTTTGCAATGAGCTTGCAAAAATTGCTGTTTATAATTGCTGCTTATAATTGTTTACAACGGGTATAGGGTATTGCAAAAAGTGCGCATAAATAATACATATGTACATATGTAGCTAGTTTCCAAAAGAAATTTAAGTGAAACAAATTTTTTTTGTTTGAATTCAATCTGAAAACTGACGGAATTGAAAAAATCATACTTCAATTAAATTGCTGGTGGTGATTTAAGACTTTTAGCTGAGATTTTTAAAGGCTAATAATGTTTATTGTTTTTTATGACAGTGTAGCTCATTATTTAATAACAAAGACCATGCAAGTTAAAATTTCAAACGTTGTACAAAAATTCGACAAAGTTTCATCAAAATTTTGAACTTTTTAACAAGATTTTTTAGAAACATTTCGGGTATGCAGTTTCATAGCCCATTCAATTCAAAGTGCAAATTCTATGTAGCTTGGACTTACCGTAGATTTTTAGGGAAGGTATTGCTCATTTTCTCCATACGAAAAATTTTCGAATATATGTACTTTGTATGGAAGAAAATGCGCGAACAAAAAAATTACCAAAAATCAACGTTAAGTCCAAGCTACTTCAGACTTGCATGAATAGCATGGGCATCTCAGAAAACTTCTAAAAAATCTGTTTAAAATTTTTATCAGCATTTGTTAAAATTCAAAGCTTTGAAATTTTGTCTAACATATTTTTTTTAGATAGTAAGCTTTTCATAAAAAATAATGAAAATTTTTTAAACAAAGAAAAGTAGTCAACACTTTCCAAAATGTCTCTTCCCTATTGATATTCTCGCAACCGTATATATTTTGTGTATAAAGTTTTGCGATAACTTTTCAAGTTTTTTCCTCTTTGTTTTGTTTTAAATAAAACTGCATTAAATGAATCATTCCTAACATCCCTAGTCAGTACACCAACTTCAAGGTCTTGTAATATAAAATTTAACTAATACTTATCAACGAATTCTCATAAGCAAAAAAATGAATAGAAATGAAAGAACATTTTTCTTATCACTACGTATGGGAACACCCTTTATGTTTTGTTGATAGAGAAACTTATTTTTTGTGTTGTCAAGGAAGGTTAGCTAAACATTTTCTAAGAGGGTGCATTGTTTTTCAGCCCACCTGATTTTTAGCGGCCTACGCATTACAAAAGCAAAGTTTTCTGGTGGATATACATAAATAAATATGTACTTATATGAGTTCCAAAACATATTTCGAAAGAGGCATTTTATAGGGGTTTTAACACCTAAACAAAAAGCGAAATATACTTAGAGGGTATTTCTTTACATTAAAAGCTTAAAACTTAAGTCAAAACTAATTGCCATGGCGATTTTAATGGAAGAATTTTGTCAAACTTACAAGTGACATAATTTGATAAAATTTGTCAGTTTAGAAATGATGCGCTGCAAATATGCACACGCCTTTTATTTACCTTTCATCAATAGCAGGAGAAAAATTCTGCTGTTCTTATCAGAGTTATCGTTCCCTCTTTTCTTCTATGCCACTGTACAGATAACATTTTTATTTGAAATTCGCATCAGCTGCACAAGCTATGTATTTGTTTTTCAGTGCACTGGTACTTAAGCATTGCATCCGACACATTTTCCTATCAGTTCAAATTCCTAACTCGAACGCAACGCTTTCAACGCAAAGCGCTATAAAATAAAGCAATTAATAAACGTGTAAAAAATATTTACATATATAAATACATACATACATGCACACAAACAAATACACTTTCGGTGAGCGCGCTTCTTTGTTTATATTTGAGCATTATTTAGGCGAGTAAAACTCTAGGCATATTTGAGAATGTCAGCAATTTGTAATGCCCGTAATGCCGGCACGGCTGTCGTACGAGTGTGCAAGTATGGAGGAAAACAACAAAAACAACAACAGTTGCAGAAAAGTCAAATTGCATTGCAGTCGACACTAAGCAATGCCAAGGTAAATTATGATGAAATTGGAGAAGTAAATATGTGTTATGGAAATTTCGCTGGAGCTGAACAAATAATGCTCAATTTCAATCGTGAAATAGGCACATAAGCTGAGTTTTGATCTATGTAGTTTATGGTTAAGGTGGTCCTTAAAAATAAAAGACATACTTTCTTACTCTTAGTCTTACCCCCTCAATCGGTAATACCACGGTCACAGATATAATATATACCCCGTGTCGCAAAGAAAATATTCCGACGAATTGATAACCTTCTCCTATTATTGAAGTCGGTTAAAAATAGTATTATCGAATTCAAAGACACTTAAACATATATATTTTATTCACATCATAGTTTCTGTCAGTGCGAATATGCTGTTATAATGGCTTTAAACTTCAGACGGATATTTGACTGCGACTGTGAAAATAACAGATTGATTGTTAACATAAAAATTCCTAGTAACCCAGTCGGCAAAATAAGAAACAAATAGGCTTTCTTGGAGCCCTTATTTTAGATCTTTTGAGCGATAGGCACCCGTGATCGATTCTTTACTACTTTTCATTTTGTATGAAATGGCCAGAGCTCTGCCTTCGAGTGGCATCGCTATTGCAAGATCTTCTATTAAAGCTTACAACGAGAAGGTTTTATTGAAAGATCCCTTCCTGAAGGTGTTTATTTAGAAACGCTCCTCATTTGCAGATTGAAAGCATGGAAACCAAATCATCACAAAATACGTTTAACTTGGAATGGCAACAGGCGCTACCCTATAAAGCAATTCCCAGACTAACGAGATATCAAATGTTCCGTGGTTTCGTAAAAGGAGGTGAGTTAAAAATTTAGATCTCATTATACGTTTGTATGTAAAAACTAAGCAACTGATTTTTATTAAAAATTCAGACTTTATTAAAATTTTACTTAAATTTATTTGAAGAAATCGAGTAAACGGTCTGAAATTTTAAGAAAAACCAATTGCTTAGTTTTTATTCATAAAGCCCATTGTACTGAAATCAAGATATTTATAAAAGTATTGCCAACTGATAGACATGTGAATTAACCTTAGTGATAGATTTCGGGACCCACAAAACCCGCGTTACATTTTTAAAAAACGTCGGGATGGGCGGGTTCGGGACTTAAATATGGAATTTGGAGATGTGCGGGATCAGGATTGAATATTTAGTCCCGTGCCCATCTATAGTTCCATCGTGTGTCGTACACGCCATGGCCAATGCGTAAAGGCCCGTAATTCTTCCACAAAATCTTTCTCTCGAATACTAAAAGAGCCGTCTCACCGAATGTTGTCATAGTCCATGCTTCTACGCTATATATCAGCACGGGTATGATGAGTGACTTATAGAGTATGCTTATCGTACGTCTGAATTGCCTACTCAACTCAAAGTAGCATAGCATTGGCAAGAGTTATTCTGCGTTGGATTTCCGGATCGGTGTTAATGCTGTTTACCAAGTAACCGGAATTCTTTACTTGGGTGTCAAGGCGTGAATGCGCTTACTGTTTGTTTGATGGCAGGATATACTTCGTCTTGTACGCGTTTGCCCACATACACATTCGCCTTGCTTACCTATCCAACTTGGGAAAGGCAAAACAGGCTGTGTGGTTGATGATGTCCATGTCATCGGCATACGCCAGCAATTGTACGCTCTTGTAGAAAATTATTCCTGAGCGAATCAGCTCTGCAGCTCTTATTATCTTCTCTAACATGAAATTAAGGAAATCACACGCAAAGATGTCGCTCTGTCTGAAACCTCATTTCGTGTATCTTATCAGCTCCTTGCCGCCGTACTTGAATAGCTCGACTGGCAGGCTGTTAGCTCCGGCGGTTTTGTTGATCTTCAGACACGTAATTGCAATTCGTACCTAATATACCAATGATGACATTTATGTCACTTTTAAGGCGTGGTATGCTTTAAAATAAACTGATCTTGAAGAGAGTACACTCACAATATTTTTATAAACATATTGACAAAATTTCGAAGTCATATTCCCATTTAATATTATTTTCCCTTATTTGCAGGTGAATTTGTCAATCTCTCGCTAAATGACTTCCTTTTTAAATGTCGTGAGAAATTTGGAGATATCTATCGTATGGCTGGTGTTATTGGGCAACCAGACACGGTCGTACTTTTTAATGTAGACGATTTCGGGAAGATCTTACGCACCGAAGGTAAATGGCCTAGTCGGCCCGGAACAGATGCCATTAGATACTACAGAGAATCACGAAAAGATGGTTTCTTTAACGAAACGGGTGGCCTAAATGCAGAGTAAGTAAAACAGATGTGCAATTTATTTGTACTTTATTTATTACGTTTTTAAAAACTCATGTAAATTTATTTCATCTCTTACTGTAACAGAGGCGAAAAATGGGGCGCATTCCGAAATCAAGTGAATCCCATTTTGATGCATCCGAAAAATGCCAAACTTTATTTAGAACCATTGCAAAATGTGAATTTGGAATTTGTAAAAAGGTGAGTTTTCGCTTACAGCTCCGGTTTTAAAATTGAATCGTATACATTTATGTTCTAATTTAGAGAAGTCTATCAAACCCGGCAGTGTAAATTAAAATGGTGCAGTAATTTTTTTCCCCATTTTTTTAATATTTTATTTTATTTAAATTTTATAAATTTTTAATAAAAATAAATGTAGTTCACACTACAATAAAATCCGTAAAACTCTAAGCTTTTTAATTTTGCAACAGCTAAAAAAAGCGCCAAATTTTTATTCAAACTTCACACTATTGATTCAGAAACTTTAGAATTTTTTTAGTTATGCCAGCTTTGAGTCGCTACAAAATACCGTTGCTTTTTGGAAGTTTTATTTGTTGATGGTGTTTCTTCCCTATAATAAAACCTAATTTTAAATGGAAGAAAATGCGCATCACTCTCGACAAAAAAAAATTGTTAAAAGTTATTGGTGTTTTGTAGCAACTTAAACTTGCACTTTCTTATTTCAAAATTGAATGGGCAAATAAAAAAAAACTGAATAAAAGGTGTACAACATTTTTGTTGTTACAAAGTTAGAAACTTTTAGGTTTATAGATTTTGTTGTAGAGTGTGTGTGTGTGTGTGAACTATATTTTTTATTTAAAACTAGCAAATGCCCGGCGTGCTTTTTTTCAAACCGGTGGCAACCCTCTTCAAAATTATTTTCTACAGTAGACTTTCCTTAACCGCCTCCGTTTCACACTCATATTGCAACATTCAATTTATCTTATCAAGTAAATTTAATTAAAACTTTCATACACCTGGTAACCTTCAACAAAAATATTTTCGGCTTTAGTCTTTCTTAAATCTCTTTCTTTTGGCAGTCATATTGCAATATTCACTTTATCTTTTCAACTTACTTAAATTGCAATTTTCAAAGAGATGGTAACTCTCTAATATTTTTCATTTTATGTTTTAAGTCAGACCTTTAGCAATGCACCGGTGGAAACTCCATTCAATTTCATGCATTAGTTTTCGAGTTATGCGCGTACAAACATACATACGAGAAAGATGGAGACAAAAATTCTAAAAATTTTTAATTTGGCTTCTGTTGGTCTATTAAAGACCCCCATATATTAATTTTTCTTTAATATTTTTAGTGTACAGAAAAGGGCGTAGCCAAGATCTGGTGTAAGGGGGGCGGTAGAACGAAATATACTTGTTAATTTTTTTGATATATTTTTTATTTAAAAACGTTTCGAATTTTCAGCAAAGTTTTCGATTATTTCCTCCTGAATCATCTCGCGATTTTCGGTAACGAGTTTTCTATGGACGCTCATGAGGCATAGTTCAGAAAGCTTTTCTTCTCCTGTCGTACTTCTGAGCCAGGCTTTTACTCTACGAAGTGTACTAAACGATCGCTCATATCATATTTTAGGTTGTTCTTTGAGTATTTTTATTCTGTATAAACAAGTTTAGATATACATTTCGAATCTTTACTGTTTTTACATTGGCACAAGTTGTTGGCTCATAACTTGGATCAAGTATGACTCCTTCGTACATACGTATAAGAGTCACACATTTTTCTTTTTTGAAATTCATATTTCCCACCCACCTAGAACTCCTTCCGGACTCATATATTCTGAATATTATTGTGGGGCTGTTACGATTTTATTATATTTATTGATTAATAAAATTAAAAAAAAATATTAAAGAAAATAATAATAATTTTCTATTTTCACTGACCTTTCAAAAACGTCCCCTATTTATAGAATCCGCGATATTCGCGACCCGCATACACACGAAGTGCCGGGCAACTTTTTTGAAGACATCAATCATCTCGCCTTCGACTCTATTGGAGTGGTTGCGCTGGATTATGACTTCGGTTTAACTCGCAAAAATCCCGATTCAAAAGATGCCAAATTACTTTGCAAGCATATGAGCGCATTTCTAAAGTCCATTTATGATTTGGGAATCAAACCTTCATTCTACAAATATATAAAAACACCAACATATCGACGTTTTGAAGAGTCTATGGACCTCATGTTTGATATCACAAATCGATATGTCAATGAAGCTGTAGCACGCCTAGAAGAGTACCCTTCCACCGAAGGCGAGGAACGCAGTGTTTTGGAGAAATTATTGAAAATCACTCGACAGACGGCTATCGTTATGGCCATGGATATGCTGATGGGTGGTGTGGATGGGGTAAGAACATAAAACGATTATAAATTATATTATGCCAACAAACTTATTCTACAGCCTTCTAGTACGATCGCTACTATCGTACTGTGTATCGCTAAAAATCCAGAAAAGCAACAAAAACTGCGCAAAGAGCTTCTTGCTATTTTGCCGCACAAAAACGATCGTTTCACTATTGATAATATGAAGCAATTGCCTTATTTGCGCGCCTGCATCAAGGAAGCACTTCGTTTATATCCATTGGCATTTGGTACAGCGCGTATAACTGGTGCTGATCTAGTGTTGAGCGGGTATCAAGTACCCAAAGGGACGCCTGCTTTAATTGCCACGAATTCATTACCGAATGAGGAGCGTTTCTTTCCACGACCTCGTGAATTTATACCGGAACGTTGGCTGCGCCAAAAGGATGCATCATCTATGAATGTTGACGAGCAATTGATTGCTGATAATGTGAATAAATTTATTAATCTGCCTTTCGGATTTGGTCCACGCAGCTGTGTTGGCAAACGTATTGCTGATATGGAAATGGAGCTGACATTGGCTAACTTGGTGCGAAATTTTCATATTGAATACAACTATCCGGCGGAAAATGCCTTCAAATATCATTTTATAAGTACGCCTGCTATACCGTTGAAATTTAAATTCGTTGATTTGAAATAAATAAATACGTTTCTTATTTGAAAAAAGGGTTTCAAACTAGTTGTCGTAAGAATTATAGGGTTACCTCAAAACGAAAAAGGTTGCACAATTGCAATGTTTAAAGACCGTTTTCTCAAGTAGGTTTTAAACTTAATCTGCCCTGCAAAAACACAAATTTTGTTCTGAAAAAAATGCATTTGGAAGGCCGATACGTGAAATGTTGTAAACCCATTTTCACCGAAGTTTTAAACCGTTTTTCGGATCTTTAAGAAAAATTTAAGGTAGGAAGTTTTACAGCCCATTTAATTTTATTTGAAAAAATGTAAGTTTCAAGTGGCTAAGAATTTATGTTGATTTTTATTAATTTTTTTTTTTTGCTGAAATGTCCCTTTTTCCCCTAGCCGGATTCCACAATGTACTTACATACATACATTTATCGCGTCAATCGCAGCCAATCGCTTTAATGCCGTCAAATTTATTGCAAATTATCCAGGGACGGTACCAACCAAATCACGTTGAAATTCTGCACAAACAGCGTTAAATGAATGACGTGCAGCTGATGGATTGAAAACAAAAGTGTCGTATGGCAAGCTAAAAATACGCATTAACACAAATTGGTGAAAATTGATTTGGCAGCTTGCCTCTCTTAATGTCTGTAATTACTAACGCATTTGGCAATATGCAACCGAAATGTCGCTACCAAAGCGATATATTCAGTTATAATTATTCACACAGGTGTTAGCGAAAATATAAAAAAGGTGTGAAAGAGTACAACAAAACAAAGAAAGTTAACTTTAAAAAATTAACGCCCACTGTTTTTGTAGCGGGACTTTTATTTTTGAAGTGTTGTTCATTCGACATCACCTTCAACTGTCATTTCGCCCTACTTGAGTTGTAGGTGATGGCTGCCTATCTCTTTTCCCTGACTGACATACCGGGCATTTGTTAAACCAATTGTTACCTAATGACGACGGCTTAAAATATTTACTATCTTTTGGCACGAGCTTATCGAAACACAAGAAAATACACTCCAGAAAAATATACTCATGTAAGTATATATGTGAAAGCAAATAGCATTAACTTCAACACCTATTTCGGTGCGAACAAAGCGATTTTTCTATAAAAATCTAATAGTGCGCTTAGTCAGATAAATGTTTCAGTAAGCAGAAATTATAAATTTTTTATTAAAAGAAATGTAATAATTTTGAACTGTTCGAATGGAATTTCCTCCTGGTTAAAAATTTAATTAAATTCAAATTGTTTAGTAAATTAAATGAATCATTACTAGTTATATGGGTATTAGTCGAAATATACCACATATTTAATTCAATTTATTTATTATTGAAATATGTCTCACAATATGGGCATAAGACGAAAGAGGTTCAAGCATTTTTTAGTTTGAAACTATTTTGAAGAAGGCATGTATACATTTCTAAAACGCATCCGAAAATTAATCGCTAGAGTATTCAGCGCAGTACTAAAAACTTTGATGCTTCATTTCGTTTGAAAATTTAAAATTCCAAAAGGTTCCTCATTGTTATTTTAATATTCAATATATGAAATATGTATTAGTGTGGTCCAAAATAGGGTTTTCGTCACTTTCCAAAAGTTTTACTCTTTCCGAAAGAGGTGCTGGTACCAAACTTTCCAAACGTTTCTAAGGACAAATGTAGAGGATACTCATGTTACTCATATTTTACTCCAGAAGTATTTCTATTAATCAAACAATTGGTTCAGTACCCTAAGAACCATCCAGGTTTAAGTTATCTAAAAAAATTCACAAGCTTCAGTTGTCATGGCAACAGGAGCCTTTTATAAAAATCACCAATATTTTTGCCAGTTTCACTGCGATCCAGTAGCGTATTTCAAGGTCATTGAGCCCCCTGTATTAGTTATTAGTTTCTTTATTAGTTTAGTTTTCTATGATAATATTTTTTTCCCCAATACAAAAAATTGGACCACCCTAATGTATACCAAACCAAAATGTATACGGTAGCAATGTCTTGCAACTCTGCATATGTAAACAGTTTAAATACTGCATTAAAACGGTGCCCAAAAATTGTATTGTAACGTTTTGTTAGTCAGCCATTATTTTTACATTTTCCCTGGCGAGTGGAATAAAAAGCCGAAACATACATTTTTGTTTATTCGCCTAAATCGGAAATTTCGATAAAACTGTAATTTGTAAGAGGGTACAGCTAAAATGTACGGGAAGCGCAAGGAGCTGTCTGCTTATATTGCCGTGCCTTTTCGATTACAAAGTATTGCATTAATATTAGATTTTCCGGATTGTTATTCATGTTGGCTTTCACACAAAAGTTTGTCCTTTTAGTAAGTACTAAATATATGAAGTAAGTAATAGTCATCTCATTTTACTAAATGCACCAAATCTGAAACCTATGTACCAGTGTACCAAATTAGAAAAAATTACCAAAACTGGTACATTTTTGCCAAAATGGCAACCATGATGTCCCAGTAGTAAAGGACATTGTCTGAATAATATACAGCACAAAGAGGTCGACTTGGAAATCAACCGAAGACTAGCTTGGTGGCCGATCCACCATTATAAATCATGCTTTACAAGTCTCTCATCTCGTGTGTTCTTTGAAATGCCGTACAATTACGGACGGTCTTGAAAAGAGATGAGAAAACTTTGGAGAGGCACAGAATCTATTATTGAAATATTTCAAAGTGTACGAACCAAAGGTGTGCAATGAGTAGATATGTATGTATATCCCTGTTCGCGTCGATGGCGGGTATTAAAGAAGATACATAGAATGACAAATTTTACAAGTTTTTGAAGGGCATAAAAATACCTGTATGAAAATGCAAATATTGTGCTAGATTAGGAAAGCTGTAAGCATGGATGAGCATACTCCGGGTAACATATCCTTCGACTCGGTCGCAACGTAGACGTGGGTCTCGGCCTAAGCCATTAAATGCATGTACTTAATGCCAAATATTGAGAATATGGAGTTTTGCTATTTTTTATACCATAACTACTTCAATGATCCACAGATATGGATTCTGTAATTTTTATACTTTCTCTGTTTGCCCATCTGCAAACCATCATTTAAATACTACATTGTTATTTTAAACAAAATACTTACACTGACTTTGCCTATTACTCTTTAAAACCGCAATTACCTCTTTAGTTTAAAAGGCGTGTGGCAAGAAGGTGTACGCCAATTTGAATACAAATAGTTTGATGTATGGAAAAATCCCAATCGCAGTGAAAGTGAACCACCTGATGTTGGGTAAAATCATTAGCTAAGGCGCCGTTTGTGTTTTAAAAAAGTTTCATAAAATCTGTGTGCGTTACGCATTTCACTAAAATATCATATTAATATAAGTACATTAGGGCGGAGTAATTTGTTTGGAGCAAAAACTTCGAGGCCAGTGTAAAGCAAATGCAAATTCTACGATTGATTCTAAGCAAAAATGGCGAACAAACTATGTACCACAATTAACGTTTGAGCCTGCAAATTTTCAAAAGAAAATCAATATATTGTAACTCTTTTGGTCGAAATTTACTTTTCCGTTTAACCAAACAATTTTTTACGAAACTAATAAGCATAACGAAATTTATCAAAGCCAAGTGGCACAAAAAAATGAAATTATTAATTTTGTGCAGAAAAAAATTACAGTACACTGATTTTTCTTTTAAAAATTCCGTCAAAGGTCAAACGTCATTTTTGGTAGTATTTACAACATTTTTGCTTAGCATCGAACGCAGAATTCGATTATGCCATACACTATTTTCGAAATAAAATTACTTCGCCCTAATGCACATACATATGCATTTTACTCAAGGCATAAATCTCTTAGAAAGCCCAAAAGTAAAAGTGCGTTTAGGAAAACTCAAATCATTTCGCTTGGCTCATTTTCGGTTTTGTGCATTTATTTTTTCATTTTACTTATTTGTATGATTAGCTGAGTGAAGTTTTCTTACTCAGTCACAAATACATGATTGCCTGTATATTGAGCTGCACAATATGTGGGTCAATAAAATACAAATTAAATATATTTCGATCTATTTAATTTTAACTAATTTCAATCGAAATCTTGCCAATTGCTCAATGGTTGCGCATTCCCGCACAAAATGCAAAGAAATGTTTTCATCAACCACACTCACGGTCATTGCAATTTACTTAAGTAGTTGCGAAAAAAAAATGCTACGTAAAAACGCAACTAGACCAACTTTGGTTGCGCTGCGAACATTTTAAGTGTTAAATTGATTACGCGCTTGCAATGCTGTGCAGACATGTTTACGCTTAACTAGCTAAATAATTTGCGCTCGTTGATAAAATTGCTACTAACTAAGCGGCGGCAATGAGCGGAAAAAATACAAAATCAAATAAACAAAAATAACCAAAGTAAGCTATGATCCAAATTAAAAGCAAGGTAAGAAGTACAGCGAAAAAAAACAAGATTAGAAAAAAAAAACAAATACCATCAACGCATTTGCGGTGCACATAAAATCATGCGTTAGCAGCGATCGAGCAGTAACACAACGAAAGACTGAAGGCACAAACTTGCAGCTAAGTAAATCCATGCGCATGTGCATACATATGTATGTGTGTGCATGTATTAGTATCTAACTGAAAGTCCACTATACATACACATATGTATGTACACTAAAGCGGCAGTTGCTGATTAGCAATAATCTAAAATGTCTAAAAGAGAATTTTAATCAACGGTAGAGCTTTGGTTCGCCGCTGCTCAGCTTACAGAAACCGGCAGAATGCTGTGTGTAAAAAATAAGCGGCCAGCTAATTATTGCCAATTGTGCGTCACAAACAAATTACATACAGCACATAGTACATGCCTCTAAAAAAATCAACGAGCGACATATATTTGTGTTAGCCACAGCAGCAGACAGACACATACTTTTATGTAAGTAAATGCGAGTACATTGACCAATTCCAATTTATTAACATGCCACTTTGTCTACCGTTGTTTTGGCCATCTAACCCATTTCTCAGCACAAGCTGCCACATTCAAGGGCATACAACAACAACAACAACAACAACAACATGCAATTGTGT